TTCTAGCCTAACAAATCTCCGGCATGTTCCATCTGTTGTATCATCTTTTCCTACAACGAAGTCTGGAAATGAATCGTGAAAGGACATGCCACCGACGCATGGAAGCAAGGAATGGGGAGAGTTGAGGGTTTGGATCCCTCTGCCTATGTTATGGCAAGCTCACCAGGTAAAATGAACTCACCATGATGAAGGTCCTTGACCAGGGTCCCTTCTTTCAGGTTCTGGAATGTCAAATTTTGCGTACCAACTGACAAGACCTGCTTTGGAAATGGAATGACTCCAGACCGAACCATCCAACTGGTTCCTTTTAAGGAGATCTCAAAAAGGTCGAACGATTCCCGCCGATAGGTCAAACTTTCTCAACCTTTCAGGTTTTGGAATTTGGGGGATCCAACAACATATCCATGAGCAATTGGGAAGGTTCATTCTCAGAACCCCAAGATTCCTGGAGAACTTACGGGTCACCTGGGAGTCGAGAGCCATCCAAAACAAAAGGCAACCAATCTTTGAGGAAGTTGAGCCGGGCTAGATTCGAATGTGGGTGTGGGAAATCCAATAAAACGTACAACTTATTTAAGCAACTTATTTGGCGACTTATTTGGCAACGCCTCAACCCGGTTGGTTTCGTCGGAACGTCAATGTTCGGGAAATCTGAAGGCCACCAAAAACAGGTGCCTGCTCAGTTTTTTTCTTGCAGAGGGGGTTCCTGAAAAGGGACAAAAAATAACGTATACAGGACCTGCCAAGACGGGGCCTTTCCAGGGTCCCTGGATTTCAAGTGACGTCAGACCTGGCGCACCACCGCCGCGGGGAACTTCAACTCCGGACACTTCCACACGGGCACCGGCATCTTCACTGCGCCTCTTGCAGGCCCGGGAGCAGCCCGGGAGCAGCCCGCGTTGCGCGGAGAAGCTTTTGGCTTTTCAGAGGCCCAGGGTCAAGCGGTCAAGATATATTTTAGTCATTTCTACTGTGGGACATTTGGCGCGTGAGCCCCACAAGGGTTTGCTCAAAGTGCAATTAGAGAATTGAAGCTAAGGTTTGCTCCCCAAAGCACGATTCGAACATATGGCTTTCTATCCAATGTCCGAGACCTGGATATTGAGCGTATCGGAATCTCTGTCGACTTTCGGCTTCGAAGATCAAAAGAGCGGCTTTCGTGGAGCTCGGACACAAAGTTGCCGTGGCCCGCTTGGTCTTTCTCCAGGAATGATCTTGGCAAGTTCTTGAACGCGTCACGTTCTGTTTGAAAGACGTCACGTTCATGGAGGTTACTTGTCGAGGGATCCCTTATCTTGGGCTGGTGAATCAGAATTTGCCCAGAATTGTGGTAGTAATTTGCCCAGAGATTTAAATATATGTGGTTGAGCTTTGGGCTGAGTTTATGGTTGAAGTCCGCCTTTGCCAACAAACCATGGAATGGCGGCTCCTTCTTCAGGGCGGCTCCCAACCTCAAAACGACGAGCAGGTGAGTTGTTTAGAGGTGAGGAGGTTCTGTGCCACTGAGAAAGGGGGGCTAGATTCCTTTTAGCGTAGTCCCTTCATCTGAGTAACCTTCACACCTCCAGAAAACGAACCTGAACATGCCCTTGAATATGTACCCTTCAAGACTCGGCCTTCGCCCGAAGGGTTTTGTGGTGAGATTTGAGAAGGGCCAGTGCCCTTGACGCACTCAACTAGATACCTGGGTGTGTCCCGAAATGGGGAAACCCTTTTGGGATGGCGAAAAAGGAAGCCAAAAGGAAAGCCTGAGGATTTGCAGTTGGACGGATTCAGCCGGATGGAGGGATTCGCGGACACGAAACCACGCAAGCATTGACACAGTTGGGTGAAAGTAGATGGTTTCCCCTGGCTACCAACTTTTGTGCTAAGCGGAAGCACTGGGTGGCAGAACTCTCCCATTTTTGCTCATCATCCCCCTTGAGGGGAAGGGGATTGTGCCATCTAGTTTCATGGTGGATTTCTCTAGTGCCCGGTCACAAGGCTGCAAGACAGCTTCCATTGGGAGTTCCGGGAGAATGACAGTGCAACTGGACCTTTGTTGTGGTCCAACCAAGGAAAGTGAGCAAAGTTCCCTACATCCAACTGAAGCCTTCACCGAAGTTGAGGCTGGGGATTGAGGCATTCCACCCAGGTTGGGGAATAACTTTCGCAACATCCACGTGTTGAGAGGCTTGTGGCTTGAGCAATACATGGCTTAAAGAAGTTAGCTGACTTCTCACCCTTGCAAGCGGTTTCGGTTGTGACAAGAAAGGTCCTAACATCCATCTGCCCCGAGGACAAACAGTGGCTCACAGACGTCCTTTTCACACTCGAGGCCATATTATCCGGAATCCCTAGCCTACTAGCCAACAGGGGAACCACCTCCCTTGCCATTCCCAGCGTTTTCGCGTCGAATGCATCGAGGGTGGTATCTCTTCTCCGCCAACGTGCGCTTCGACTCGGTCCCGGATACCAGTTACGTCCGGCTCATGCTCCGCGGCCATGGGCTTCTTTGAAAGTTTGTTTGCCCCAACCAGGCATGGGTTCTGGTATCCGCCCCTTTTATCAAAAAGAGTTGCTTAAGAGGTAGACCACTCGAAAACCGGAATTTTAACCCCAAACAAACATCCTATAGCAACCAGGACGTGTCTTCAATTACTTTGCTTTGAAGGCCGGGGCAGTCGTGGTGATTTTGACAAGGATTATTAGTTGCTGGATAGTTGCAAATTGCCATCATTAAACCCTTGAACAGTTACCATCATCATCATTCAACCTCAGAAACCCCCGAATAATGGTGGTGTTAATGAACCAGTGGGTTTCCTGAATGGTTTCCGGACGCGTAGCTTGCGTAGCCAGCCACCTCGCTTTCGCCGTATGGATACCTGGGCAACCAATCAAATTCCACAAAGTGGCTTGACTTATTAGAGACATAAAAAGCTGTCAGCGTTTTCTTTGTGTGTTTGTTCCTCCTGCCGTTAGTAGTTGGTTTGTCCCACTTCTGGGGTCTCATCTTTCTAATATGCGTCGATCGGCTGGTATTTTATCCGCTCAGAGGCTGAAGCTGATCGAAGGGGTGTTTGGGTTCTGGGAAGCGTTGCGGGCTGTGCTCGCATGGCGATGGTTACAAACTCCGCGCCCAAAACGGGTACGAGTTGGGAAAGCTTGATAGATATTTGGAGAAGCCACAAATCCAACTGGTTCTGATCGGTGGGTGGGTTTCGCCCCTCAAAACCCAAGAGTCAGGTTACTCTGGCTCAACAAGACCATTTGGTCAAGAGGGGCCACATGATGCCCTAAGGTTAACAACGGCCAAATAAGGGCAAAAAGGCCTTTTAATGCCAAATAAGGTCCACCATAAGGCCAAGTAAGGCCAAGTAAGGCCAAGTAAGGCCAAGTAAGGCCAAGTAAGGCCAAGTAAGGCCAAGTAAGGCCAAGTAAGGCGTTGTAAGCCAAATTAAAGAGCAAGGGCAAACCGCAGGTTTTAGTCTTTGGCTCCATTTCCCAAGGTGTCAATTTGAGCCACACCCAAATGCCGAAGGTGACATAAGGCCAGGCCCAAAGATCCAGTGGTGCTTTCTGATTGCCGAGGATCGGTGTCGATGGGAAGCCGTCCGCGAATGACGGCGCCCATGCCATCAGCGGAGCCCCGCACCAGCCGTACTATACGTTGAGCTCCTCAAATGCACTGGATAGGCGACGGTCTCCACTGAAATGACTTGATATTGGGGCTCCAAAGGCCTTGATAAATTCGGGAAAAGCCGTTTTGTGTGATTCTTCGGGGGAATATGCCAGTTTGTTTATGGTTTTTGCCTTCCAGCGGATGCACTAATTTTAATGCTAACCCCAATCCAATCCCCAGGCCACCAATCCAAGCCACTCTCCGGAAGTCAGTTGGACCATAAAAGAAAGCATCATCGCAATACTAAGTAACTTACCTTTGGGTACGTTTGGAGCATGTTGAGGTCAAGGTGTTCCAGGCCATCAGTGAAACAGCAGCTGCTGTACACCATGTGTTTGTCTCAAACTGGATGGTGTCCCATTTGTTTCCTTTTGGAACACCCCCGCAAAAAGGGTGCCGAGCCTGAACAAGGACACACCTGCATTAACCCTTGGTCAAAAGGCCTTAAACGCTAAGCATCTTCCGTTTGACGCTCTTTGTTTGTCTTGGGAAGATGTCCGTGCATCTGGTGGACCTTCCTTTTAAGGTCCATTTGATTTGCAGGATATGCACTGAATATGACGAATCTGTTTGTTTCGTGTACTGCGGGTCCCACAGGAGTTTTGGGGTGCTGGTTCTCAGGGAATGGCGGGATTTTGGGAATGAACAAACAGTTAAATTCCCGGGTGTTTCTTCTAAGGATGGTTGTTGGCTTCCAGGTCAATCTGGGTGTAGGCGGGATTTTGGGAATGCTTAACTGTGATTTGCTGGAGTCTTGAATTGAACGTTGGCGGACCAAGGTTTAGCACCTGTAATTTGGAGCAGCCCTGTACCAAAGGTTGGGCAAATCTTTGGATCCCACCAGTAGCAGTATCAGCGTTTAGGACCATTTTCCTTGACTAAAATGATGAGCACAAACACATATTCAACTGCTCAGTCTAGAGCTGACCGTTGACCAAGGTGAATCGATCAACTTTCGATTCGGAAACCCCAACTCTCGTTGAGGGGCAGACTGCCAGCATGGGGATTCCCAATTGATCAGGGATCCACAAACCGCTAGCTCCGAAGTCCCCCACTGTTCGGGCCTTATTTGGCGTTCTTCGTCTCAATGAGGTTTGTTGAGCCCACTACTTTTGGGTGGTAGGGTTCCTGCTATTCGAAACTGTATCTTTCTGATTCACCGGTTGATTCTCCGACACCGATTGGAGGCTACGATCTTTCGTTTCAGGCAAAGCCCTTTGAGAGACGCGTCTCAACGCCTACAAGAACCTTTGGGTTCCCTTGGGCGGGGTCTGGCTCTTTAAGCCGCCGAGGTCTTTGAGGCGTGCGTTGAATTTACCACCGCTTTAAGCTTTCCGAGATGGCTTTAGGCCTCGAGACGGCACGATACATCGACAAGGGGCAGCAGGTCGCGTTGCTTGGCAGTTTGAGTCAGATATAAATTTGAGAAATGGGTTCTAAGAGATGGGGTTCAATGGCAAAGGGCAATCATGTGTGTTTAGAACCGATTTAGGGTCACCGGACTTTGGATTTTCATCGGGCACGACCGTACCAAGCCAACCCCCTCCCCTCTCACTCTCTCTCTCTCTCTCTCTCTCTCTCTCTCTCTCTCTCTCTCTCTCTCTCTCTCTCTGTCTCATCATTCGCAAAGCCCTCACATTGACAAGACAGAATACCCAAGTCCTGTTGCTGCCAGAGTTTTTCCGATGCTCAATTGGACCAGGTCATTAAACGGTCCCAACTGGGTAAAGGGAGAAATGGTTCTAAGTCATCCCCCCCTCTTGCTGGTTTTTGCATTGCGGAATGATCCCGAAAGACGCGTCACTGGTTTCAGAGAGCATCCCCAGAAGCATTTCAGGAGACTGATTTAAAGGCAGAAGGGAAGCCATAGCCTGGTGACTAGAGACTATTGGGGACAAAGACCAGTAACCCTGTGCGTGAAATTGGTTCAACATGGTGGGGGTTTGAATGAGCCTTCCGTCTCTGGACCTATGTTTTCGACGGAAAGGTTCTGGAGGTTGCTGAGCGTGAATTCTACGAGGCATTTTCCCAAAAGCGCCTTGCGGGCATTTTCCCCAGCCTTGCGAAGGCCGAAGGGCCCAAGAAATCGATTGGGCGTATGAAAAGTCCCGAAATCGATCGGTTTGAAAAGTCCTGGCAGAAAAAGCCTGGAAGTGGGTAGAAAACAGAAGGGCGAAAGAAGACACGATTCTTCACAAGCAGGCTGCCCACTTGCGAAGCATGTAGCCAAAATCCTCAAAATGTTCATACTGAAAATATTCATATGTGTTTTGTGAGTAACCCAAATACAGGCTGCCCATTTGCTCAGCCCCACCGTTTAATGCATGTCTGCTTTTTGTGCAGCAAGGCTGGGTTTGGGCAAAATGTTGAAACGGCCGGCCCTCTGATCCCCGGTAAAGGGCAACCCAGAGGGGGCTGTTTAAACAACATGGTCGTGTGAACTATGGATTAAACACGGGGTCGGCCCGAGCCTTATCTTGACTGTTGGGTGTTGTCAAAGTCGGACTACCACCTGAAGGGTGACTATTTATTTGGCCGCTTCAAGTCGAAGGCGGGGCCAATTCTGCCCAACCCAAAGTCTTTGGTTGGCTTTTGTGAGACTTTTGCACGCTGAGGCTCTACGTGATACTCTCAAACAGCGGGGACAGCTGCACAATTCAGTCTGAGTCGGGCTTTTCCGGGTGCCGCGACATAAATCTGCCGATTTTATGTGAGATTCGAGCTCCTCATTTGGGTGAAACGAGCGACAACCCATGATCCCTTGCTATGAGATCCTTGGGTAAGTAAAAGAGGACGATGCAACCCATTTTCAGGGGAGTTGTACAAATTCGGGGGTGGACTCGACAACAATTGTTTCAATGGACGATGCCGAGCCGACCAACCTTTTTTTTTTATAATCATAGCCATATTTCGAGCTCCAAAAACAAGAATGCGGCCCATGCAGTTTTGTCATTGCTTTCTTTCACTCCTTGTGTAGGTGTACTATAATACATCATGTGAACTGCCGCGTGGCACGCTTGGGGCTGTTACCGCTGAATCAGCCTTGTTGATGCGCTATCGCAATACGCGTTTTACACATGTCGCATTTTTCAGGGACCCCACAGACCCCCAACCTCACCATTCCTATTCCTGTTGGCCCTATTTGGCCAAATTTGGCCTTGCTTGGCACGTTGCGTTGTTGGCGGTGCTTTGCTGAACGCAGACATTAGGACCCCCCCCGAAAGTCTTTAGAACCATTCTCAAACATCCCTTCTGAGAAGGTTGCAAGAGCCTTTCCTCGGATTTCCTCCCTCAAAATCCTGCATCAGTTGTGATGAATGAAACCCTATGATGACAGGTTGACAAACTACCCATCCCAACTGGTGCGAAGTGGATGTTGCCCATCCCGGGCAAACTAGAACGAGCGATTCCACCTGAGGGTAAAACGAGCTACCCATGATGAAGGCTCCTTCGAGGATTCCTGATTTCCCCTTTGTGTTACAGTCATTTCCGAGATTGGCTTCCTATTTTAGGAGCAAACAAGGGGTTTTGTATGTGCCATGGTTAATGAAGCGGCTGTTCGTCAAATTGCGGCTATGATACAAAGATTGGTACCCTAGCAGTCGAAAGGCCTCAAATCCTCTGTATGTCCGCCCTTCATTTGTCCTGATTGAAATAATTATGATCCAACTGCCTCTCAGACGGAACTCTTCTCACCGATCCCGGAGTGTTTTTGAAGAATCCAAAGCTTTGTCAAGGGTTTTGGGCTCCATCGAGTGAGTGCATCTGTGAATCCGGATTGACCTGTACGATTCTTAGGATCTTTTTTCAGGCCTTGCCTGCGGAGCGGGGGGGGGGGGGGGGTGCTAGGATCCCATGTCGCTTTAGAAGGATGAGTATGGGATACCGACTGGACATTGAGTGTTCTTTCTCTATTTTCAGAAAGCAGGACAGGTGTGTGAATTGGGGAAGTGCCAAAACAGTGGGTGGGTCCTTTTTGATGTCCATATATTCACCTACAAACTGTGGATGGACGAAATCCTGCACCTGATTCCCGGTACCAACCAACAATGGTTTCCGATGCTAGGACATTCGGTGTTCGTTTTCTATGGAAGAGAACTCCCAAGTTCTTTAACCCAGAAGAGAACAACGGAACGATCCATGAGTTTCGGGATGTTAGAAGCCTAGTTGATGTTTTTTTGGCCAATCCACTCAGAAAGTCGGGGCTGGCTAGAGACAAAAAGAGCAAAGAGCCTAAGCCGGAAACAGTCAACAAAAATCAAAAGCCCAACGAGCCAAACACGTGCAAAAGGTCAGAAAGTCGTAAACAAAAGTGAAACAAGGCAAATCTCAGAAAGTCGTTCCGAGGCACTTGATCGAATCCAGAACTGCAACCGGCTTCGACACGAAGCTGGGCGACTTCAAAGCGCCTGGAACAGATGATGTTTTCTCGAGGAAAACAACCCTCATAATTTCCATTTCTTCAAGACTGGGCGCCATCTTTTTGTTCTTGCTTTGTTTTTCTGAAGGTTGATGTTTCTATCGGGGACATATCTTGGGAACATGCATGAAAGTGAAAAGGATTCCATTTTTTCGAGAGGAGGGCCCCTCGAAGTCAGACTTTCCTCTCCCGTGGCTCACAGAACTGGATTCAAGAGAACCGGATTTTTCAAGGCTGGGGCCTCAAAAACTCGTTGGGTTCTCAGACTTGCTTCGGCGGCTTTCCTTTGGGCTGAGGCAATGAGTCTGTTTTGCGGATGCTTTGGACCCAAAGATATGTTTGCAGACGGCGCAGGACTTTGAGACTTTGAGACGAATGGATTTCTCAGAGGTCGGCCCCGAAGGGCTGAAGGCCTTAACCCATGGGCAAGTTGTGCCCAGGCGCCCTTTTTGCAACGATCTCAAGCCCACGTGAATGTCCTCTGTCTCTTGAGAGTTCACTTGCCTGAGTTCCCAGCTTTGTATCAGGGTTGGGCCACCTGTTCAAATGGTTCAAACACCTGGATTTTAAAACCCCATTGGTTCCGGGAAAAATGGTGTCTCACCGGAAAAAAACTAGGTGCTCCAAGCCACCTGACCTTGTGACCCCTCAAGGCCTAAGGACCCTCGCCGAGCCGAGCTCCTCCCGGCCCGAGCTCCCGAGCCGAGGCCCCCACCACGGGCTACTACGCCCTGGACGCCGGCGTGCGCCTGGATGGCGCGGCAGGGACCTACACCAGGCGATGGTCCAGCCATTCTGCTGGCCGTTGGATGCATTGCAGCGCCAAGTTCTCGATATTCTAAAATCCAGTTTTCCTCTGGGCTTTCCAAAGCTGAAACCCATCAACTGCAGCCAGTTGCCTTCGGGGGCCACCACTTCGTCATGTTAGCCGGGAGGGTGCGAAGTCTTGCCTGAATGTTGGAAATTATATTGGATCACCCAGGATCCCAAAACACCCCCCCGCCCCCAAAACACACCCCACAAACAAAGGGGCACCTGGATCCTCCTTTTGGACTGGAGGTATTTCCCCACCCGACAGGAAGGGGTTGTTAGATTTTATGTTGGAATCCGCGTTTGCCATGCTTCTACACCACGCCCCCACCCAGTATCCCGCCAGAGCAGCTCGCCGGTGGATCCCGCTGAGTATCCCGCCAGAGCAGCTCGCCGGTGGATCCGCCAGAGCGGCTCGCCAGTGGATCCCGCCAAGTATCTCACCAGAGCCCCGGTGGCCCGCCGAGTCTTTCGCTGAGTATCCCAGAGTAGCTCGCCAGTGGCGCCGAGTATCCCGCCAGAGTAGCTCGCCAGTGGACTCCGCCGAGTATCCCGCCAGAGTAGCCCGCCAGTGGATCCCGCCGAGTGTCCCGCTGAGTATCCCAGCCAACCCGCCAGAGTAGCTCGCCAGTGGATCCCGCCAAGTATCTCACCAGAGCAGCCCGCCGGTGGATCCCGCCGAGAAGCCCGCAGTATCCCTTGCCGGTGGATCCTGCCGAGTATCCGGCCAGTATTCGCCAGATCCCGCCATCACGCCAGAGCAGCCCGCCAGTCTGGTTTTGCTTAACGTCCCGCCCGGCGCGCAGTTGGGTTTACATTTCATGTTGGTGCCTTCGTGTTTTGAATGTGCCCTGGGCTCGGAAAGGGTGATGCTTTTGTGTTGCTTTGGGCTGTGAATAAGCAACTTCGTAATCCCCCGTCGGGTTTCTTTTTGGAAGGGGCTTGGCTTTTGTTAACGGAGCCGATGTTTGAGTTGACACACAGACAGGTGGATAAGGCTCTCAACGCAAAGCTTGTTGAGCAGTCATAGGCCCCAGGCCGCTCGAAAACCATGCTTGAGTTCACACAACCGTGTTCATGGTCGTAAGCTCGTGAGTGTGGAGGGTGGGGATTGCTCGAAGCGAAGTAGTTTTTTTGCCATGCCTTTTCAGTTGCAAGCTCTTTTATTAGACACAAGCCTGGAAGGATTGATTCCTTTTCCATTGTTTGAAGTGGGTGTGTGTGCCCTTCCAGGGGTGCCTTTGTTGGGTTGTCGAGGAACACCACCACTCTAGGGTTTGATTCCCTTTCCAGTCTTTTCAGCCATCCTTCTTTGCAAAAACCAGCCATTTCCCCAGGGTTTTGGGTGGTTTTCTAGAAAGAAGGATCCCTGAAAAGAATGGGGAAGCTATCCCTAGAACAAGGGGCACCTGCCTCCAGGGACTGTGTAGTTGTTTCATGCCTTTTCAGGCAAGCGCCACTTGCTTGTGTCTACACAACATCTTCATTGAACTCCTCTTGGACAAATCCATGAAGGCGAAACGGCGACTTTCCCCAACCAAGCGGTGACTTTCTTCAGGTTTCCGGCCGGCCAAATTTGAAACGACACTTTTGCAGTGAAAAGGCACTCTTTCGACCAAGGGCTGGCATTTGTGCTTTTTCGATTCGGTCTGACTGTGAATTTTATCTGAGAACCCGAAACGGACATCAGAATTCAGTCGTGATTGATGTCCTCCCTGTGGTTTCAACTCTTTATAAATTATATTTCTTCTTTAAAGGATGGCTTTAGATGTTCTTTGAAGTCATCGTGGTGGCCCACAGTGGGTTTTCCCAATGTTAGGTTGACACAGCCGAATGGTAAGATCGCTCAGCACTGCGCACATGCCTGCGCGCATGCCTGCCAACTGGTACGGGCCGCTCAGCACTGCGCTCAGCACTGCACACATGCCTGCCAAATGCTAAGAACACCCGCTCAGTTTTGGAGGGTCAGTTTTTGAATTCCTGATAAACCACTTAAGGAGTACTGCCCCAATCACCTGAAGTGTGATTTGGCGCATTGTGTGTAGCATCCGAATGGAACCCATTCGTTAGAACCCATTCAAAGCCAAGTTGAATGTGCAAACTTTGGAACTGTACATGGGTTGGCCTTCTTCATCATCTCATAGCAAAAAGTTTTAGTCACTTTGTTCCAGTCAGCTCAGGTGAGGTGGTCACTCCGGATCGTGTTTGGACCACTGTGTTAACAAAATCCGCGAGAATCTACCAGCAACATCTCGCGTTGGAGCTTAAACGTCGCCTTTAGGCACAACCCATTTACCCGGGGGTTTGGGGCACCAAGGGCCCCTTGTTGTTCATGGGCGTTTCGGTGCAACGCTACGCTGCCACACCAGGGCGAGAATTGCCATCAACGACCAGAGCACGACTTTGCATCTCGGTGCAACCAAAAGCCGGGGTCCTGATAAAGGCCCGTTTCTGGGGCCTCCGAAACGATTTCACATAAGGTGGACTAAATATGAACATAATCTGAACACCAGCTTCTCTGTGTGTTCTGGGCGTTGAAACAAATTCCCCCAAATACATTTGCTGATTTAGAGGATTGTAAAGCGGGGCGGTTTTGGATCTATCTGAGGTCTCCTCCCAAACATATTTCACATTTTAGAGCAGAATAAATATGGGACAGAGTCAGAACATATGTTTTCTTTCCACCCCAGATGTCGGCCAAATTGTAAAGCAGGTGGTTTTTGGATGCATCCTTTCATGTCTTAAGGACCCTGGCTTGCTGGTTCTGAGGAGCCCCAAACTACGTCCCTTGCGTCAAGGGAATCCCCAGGTTTTGCCAACACCCTCAAAAGATTCCCTAATGAGAACCAACAAGCACTCCCCAAACCCCCTCGTTCGCAGGTTTGGAACGAGGGCTTGGGAAACCCCTGTGATATCTTTCGGGCCCTCTCACGAAGTCAATCAGAGAAGGCCTACATTGCCAGTTGAGTTGCCCCAGGGCCCAGTGTGCTTTCCGCAATTGCGGAAACCCTTTTTAGCGAGGCTTTTCAACCCAAGAGAACCAGGGAACAAGGGCTGTGTGAGGTTCGATCAAACGTTCCCGATTTGTCTTGCCATTTGGGGGACATGGACGACGGAATTTCCCCAAGCCCCGACACAGGCACGCAACACTGCGGCATGGAACTGCAACTACAAATTTGTCCCCATGAAGATCCGACACTTCTGCGCCCTTCCAACACCCTCCAGGGAAATGCTTGCGGACCCAGAAGTGTCCCAAAAGTGGAACGGCTACGGGCACGGGCTACGCCCGGGAAGATGCGGTGGACAAAATCTACTTCGCACCACGTAGGTTTATCAACCAGTATTCAAATTGGGTTTCACGATCGGCGCGGATTTTGAAAAAGCCAGGAGGCCTGTCCTGTGGTCATGAGGGGTCCAAAAAGGAGATGATAACTTAGTGAAAACAGTTAGCACATGGACCCCCTTTTTGTGGAGGCCCCCCCCCAATTTCCAGCTGGACATTGGCTTAAATGTGTGCCACCGTTAACCCTGCTATTGGGTATGCCAAGTGATTGTTTGTCTCAGTACGAGTGTTTCTCAGAACCCCCCCCCCCTTCAGATGGTTGGCTTCCTTTTGGTTTCTCCATTGACATGGGACCCCTATTTTCAGAAGCACCCATCTCGAGAAAGCCGTGTCGGGGCCATCGCAAGTCAGTGACTCAACTCCAAAGGCCTAGGACCAAGGACGGACGTCCCATGGCGCTTGGGGCGCATGCTTCGCAGGAATGGTCTGCACTCCATCGAGGGCTCTCCGGAAGCGAGCTACTACACTCACTCCCTCTCCGGGGTCGTCCCTGACCTGAACTGGTCTCATTTTTTTTCTGTTGCGGCCCTTATCTTTGGCTTCAAAGACCTGTAAATTCGCTGTGCCTTTGCCCAAACACCGCGTTTGCTGGGGAATTCGGACAAGTTTGTCACTTCTCGCAGCTTCTAGTAGGGCTGTAGGGATCTCTGAGTGTGTGTGTGTGTGTTGTGTATTTTTCGAGAGGGCGTCCTCCTGCCCAAAGACAACCACCCAGTGGGTACATGCGGGTGTGCGACCAGAAGATTCATAGTGAAAAGATACGTGGGTGTGGGTCAAAATTAAGCCACCAGGGAACCACAGGTTTTGGTCCATGTTGCCACTTACCAGGGTTCCATTTTGGGGTAACTATTTTTGACCCACAGCCACATTACTGTCGGGGTGGTCACTGCCATCATTGATCGAACTACCACCACCCCCGACCCGCCCGAACTTATTTGGCCTTACCAGGACTTATTTCTTGGCTTGTAGCGGATGAGAAGGTGGATGCAGGTTGCTCATTTGCTCGTCCCCAAAACCCGACCTGTGGTGAACACCAAACCGACACTTTCTGCAATAACGAGCGATTCCACCGAGCGAGAGCATTGTCGGAGCTCATGATAAAGTTAGATCAGGCTCATTCACATGTTTGGCCCTAAGGCTTACATTCGGCCCATGCGGATCCGCGGTTTGGGCTTGGTTTTCCTTGCGAAACCAACTGGATTGGATTTTTACATGGCAAGCCAGACCCTAACAGTATTATTCTGGGGCCTAAATGAATTGTATGTTAGACCAAAGAAGCAGAATCTGAAAACCTTAAATTGTGACCAACCAAAGGCAGTTCGCAAACCTGAGCGGTTTGTGCTTTCGCGCGAAGCTCTGGTTCTGCAATTCAAGATGCTTTTGAGAAGATCCAAATCCCGCCGATGCCAATGTGAAAATTGGAATGCCTTCCATTACTTTGGGGAATTAACAAAACTAATCCACGCCGATTGGCACTAGTTGGGATGGGCCAAAGTGTGTGAATTATAGTTGACAAACCACCTACCTCGTGCGAAGCGTATCTTTGTCCATTCGCTGTACCGCGATTGGCATCACCCTACTGGTCATCTATATTGTCTTCTTAGTCACTTTGGAAGGCCTTCCATTCGTATCGCCGAGCCGAGCCATCGTGTCTTCGCGGACCTTCAGGGGGCGCTATGGGAAGGGGTATCCGTGGATAAGCCTAGAATAAGCCACAGATAAGCCCCTAAGAAGGCCTTGAGGAAAGATTGGATGGCGCAATTCCTGGGTAAAGATGACCAAACCATGGGAGCGTTGATGTTGCCATCCACTTTCAGCCAACTGGAAGGGTTCAACAAGTGATACTGTTGGACAAAAAACCTGCACCAGTTAGGTGGTCAGTATTCATAGGGTCTTATACCAACTGGTGCAAAGTGGATTTTGTCCATCCACAGCCCCACTCCCCATGTCCATATGACTCCCAACGCCCCTCCCCATCACCTCCCAATGTCCATTTGGCTCGGATGTGTCGCTTTCGGTCCGTGTAGATTGTTAGGCGAAGCTCAACGCGGGGGACACGGCACACCTGGTGGTCTTTTCTGCTTCGGAGCCCTCGCGAGAGTTAGATTGACCATCTGCCCCCCTGAGTTCTCGGACAGCATGTTGGGTGACCATTTGAGTGCCTTGTTCAGACTTTTTGGCCTATCAAGTGAGATTCAGGACTTGGAGTTTTCCTTGGAGTTTTCCTTTTGAGTTCGTTGCGGTGGAAGTTTCCCCCGGCCCAACCCCCCCCCGGAACCCCCCCCGAAATCTCGGGAAATCGTCACCCATGATCCGGCCCGGGGAACCGAAGGGAGATGGTTCACCTTCGATTTGCTTACTGGTGATTTGCGGCTGAAACATGTGGCAGTTAGCAAAAATAGGGAAACCCCCAAAATGGCGCGGCTTGCCCTGGTAAATGGAACCAAAGACTAAAACCTGCGTAGAGCCAGGCCGCCTTTTTCGAGTCTACTTTTTCAGGATCGCCCAGCCCAACGCCTTCTCGAGGGACTTTTTTTGGTGTTGTTGAAGGTTTCCCTCTGTAATCCCCCAAAAGAAATGGGGACTAACTTCAAAAAGAGCTACCCCCACTCCAAAAAATGATTGTCGAAACCGGTACACGGGAATTTCTGAACACAAAACGGATTGTGGGCCTAGTCAACCCCGGCACCACCCTCCCCACTGGCTCTTCGTTGTGAGTGGTGGGGATTCGAATCCCAATTCCGTTTCAAGCCGCATGCATGTGCCACATTGCAACAGACCCTTTTGCTTGGGATTTTTCCAAGCAGCAAACAAGTCTCTCCATGCCTTCTTGCAGGTTCTTGTTTTTCTACGCCTTTGCTCAAGGAAGAGCGACCCGTGTTTTGAACAGCTGGAGTTGGCCCCTTGATCGCGCATTCGGGACTCCTTGAACGGTCCCCAGTCACCAACCGATCCAGAAGTTTTGGGGGTCAGAATGTGGGGTGACCCAAGGAGCCGACTCGCAAGGGGAGCTATGGGATTTTCATCGCCTCATCGCCTTTGGGTTTGAGTCACTAGTCACTTGCGAGGACGAACCGGCTCTGTAGTAAGATGGGTTCTCAAAATGGGGGGGTCACCTTTTGTATGTTTTCTTTCTTCATTTTGTCTCTCGGAGAAGCCAAAAGGAAGTCAACCAACTGAATGGGTCCCTGTGTTTCCCATGCGAGCCCAAGGAATATTTTAGCCGATGGCTGAAATTCCGGTGCATCAGGAAACAAGTTGGTGGTGACTGGGATTGGAAGTTCCGGTTGTAGGTAAATGGGAAGCCACCCAAGAACACCTCCAACCACCAATCCAAACCACCAAGCAGGAAGCTCATCTACTGCAGAGCCCCCACCAAACATGTCCATACATAAACTGAAAATTGACAAATTCATCCGGAACAATGTATTCAAAGCTAATATTAAATGACCATTGCGCTTCTCCGAGGTGAAAACTCCCCCAATCATGGCCCCACCCCTCACTTGTCTTTCGGGCCGTCAAGACGTGAGGTGGACCTCTTGCGGGCCGCACGTGGGGCAAGTTGTGATTAAATAACCATACCCAGGTTCCGTTTGGGAGCCAAAAGGATAAGGTTAAAACAAATGTGGCTTTAAGCCAAGGGTTGCCCATGCGGTTGCCCAATCAACCTGTTGGCAGCTTCGTTGGCAAGACTCGCCTCCTCCCCGAACTGGTGGACTAGTGACTCAACCCCAAAGGCCATGCACATCCCCAAGGCCATTTTGTTACTTCGGAGCCGGTTCGTCCTCGCAAGTGCTTTCATAGGGTTTAGTGAGTAACAGTCGGTTAGCAGATGGACCCCTTGTGGATTTCCCACCAATTTCTGAAAATTCCTGTTGGTTGGGAATGCAACTGATCGTTACTCACTGTATATGCAGCAACCGCTTTGCCTTTTTTGGCCCACACGGCCAAGGGTCCAACGCCCACTTTCTTTCAGGGCCCAATCAGCGTTTCCGAAGGTTCCGTGTTCAGCCTATGCATTTTATGTGGCGATGCTGATTTGGCCTCATTTCATCGTTGGGGGTCTTTTTTGTTGTGTGGGGGGGGGGGGTTGGCAGGCAGGGTTGGCCAACTTGTTCAAGCATGGTTAACCTCATTTGGGCTGGGCGTGTCTATTTTTGAGGGTACCTGCTTTGTTTGGTGGCTTTAAAGGGAAGCCAAAAGGAAAACCACCATTTTGTTGGGTTCCCCAAAAGAAGACACACTTAGGCACCAAGGATTGCTTTAAACCAATTTTGCCCAACGGTGGTAAGGTCCTTGAGCATTCCGAAGATTTCGTTGCGCATACATGCCAAGGACGCCGACTACACAATCAACACTGACACGGTCTTCTCGGGCGTTTTGATAGGACCGGGGAACAGCCGAGTGAGCGGGCAATTGTTCAGGTCCTTTGGACCCCCTCCCCCCGGTTCCGTGGGGGAGGAGGGGGCTCTGGGGAGGGGATGTTGGTCAAGTGAATTGAGGTTGACTCGAGTTGAAACAGTACTGAAAGCGGAGGACACTACCTGCTTGGTTGGTTCCTGATTTGGATTTTTGTTTTCCTGGCATGGCGTTAGAGAAGCTTCAGGAACTGGGGGGCTACCCGATTGTCGGAAGCCTCCGGCTGGAGAACATGTTTCTGGGGCCCACAAACTTCTAGCTGCGTTGGTCCTCCACCCAAAGCATGGAGCCCATGGTTTGCCATAAACCACTCGTAATAGCCTAAACTAGAACTCAAAGCTCAACCCTGAATCCAAGAAGGAGGCGTTGCAACCCTTAGGTCCCCTTCTGTCCCTTCGTAAGCCCCCTTCTGTGCCATGCAAATTTTTGCAGGAGCTCCCCCAGCTAAAAACAACTCCCCGTCTCAGCTAAGTCTCCGTCTGGTACCTGTTCCTCAGTTGCCGAAAGCCGACCTTTTGACCTTTTGGTTTCTCCTTTTTGGTCTAGTTTTAGTCATGGCCCCAGAAGGTTAGCCTTTTATTTCTGGGTCCTTTGGGCAAGTGAGGTTCGCCAATGGCGTGTCAAGCGCGGCTGGTTTGAGGGGTCTCCCTTTTACATCAATGTCATGTTCTAGTTACTTCTGCTGCTGCACAGTCAGTTCAGGTTGCAAGATGCTCGAATGCTCACGCGCACGAGGTTTCCGTTAGGTTTCCCTAGGCTCCCCCCAATTGGATGAACTCCACGGCAAGCATTGGTGCTTATATATATGTACCAGTCCCTGGCACATACCCCCCCCCCCCTATGGTCCCCCCACTCCCCCGCATCATCCGCATCTTGGGGATGATGCTGGCAATGCTGGGGATGCTGTCCAGTACCGTGCGAGCCCTGCAGCTTCGGTCCCAGACCCCCTTTCACCCCGTGAACCAACACCCCCGCACCTCTCGCAACATCCTACCCTAAACCAAACCACCCTGCAACCCCTCCTTAACCCCAACCCTAAGCCTAAATCAACCCAAACCCCAAACCCACCCGAAACCCACCGCAAACCAACCCTGAACCAACCCTGAACCAACCCTAAACCAACCCACCAAGCCTCAACCAACTCCGACCACCCCCACCACCCAACCACCCACCCCCAACCACCCCACCACCCCACCACCCCACCACCCCACCACCCCACCACCCCACCACCCACCCCACCCCCCACCCCACCACCCCACCACCCCACCACCCCACACCCCACCACCCACCACACCACCACCCCACCACCCCACCACCCCACCACCCCACCACCCCACCACCCCACCACCCCACCACCCCACCCCCACCACCCACCCCACCCCCCACAGGGGGGGGGGTTGGCCCAACACCCAACCACCCCCCCCACACCCCACCACCCCACCACCCACCCACCCCACCCCCACGGGGGGGGGGGGATTGGGGGGGGGGTCCACGGCCTGGTATATATATATATATTTTTATATCTTTGCCCCATGGTTTCTATCCCAGAAGTATCTGAGCAAACCACCAACCCTCAAGAGGGAAGCTGATCCACACATTGCTGGGGTGTCAGGCCAAATATGGAACAGGGTCAGAACGTTTGATTTTGTGTATCCCCCTTCTTCCTTTTTGTCTCTCGTCTCTTTGGAATTACCTTCCTACATTCGGTCTACCGTAAAGCGGTGAAAGAGGCAGTAAAAGGCCAACCAATATTAAGATATAGTCAATGACCAAGACAAACTCCCAACAAGAAACCAACAAACACCAAGACTCTAGACGTTAACTAGTTTAGCATGTGCGTTCTGTTTACATTTGATCATATTCATACTATTTATTTTGTAAACAGTACAATCTCGGAAATTTACATATGTTATAGTCTAAAACACTATATCATCAGTATGCTATGACATATTATGGTTATTTATCTTTCTAGTATTGTATTGTTGAATCTTACTTGTGTCTTGTCTGTGTGTTTTTGTTTTTGCAATTTAACGACTCAGTATTATTATTATTATTATTATTATTATTATTATTATTATTATTATTATTATTATTATTAATATTATTATTATTATTATTATCATTATTATCGTTATTATTATTAACATTCTTACTAGTTTTACTATAATAATAATAATAATACTAATTATTTGTTAGACGTTTCTCCAAACATCTTTCACTTGGAAGTTACATCATAATGATTTTGTTGCCTTAAATGAATTTGCCGTGTCTTTTACATGACTTCAGGTTGTTGGACTGGAATTGACTCACAGACTTATTTTGTTGTATGCCTTCATCTTAGTTGTTTTATTCCCCGGATTGCTGAAAGCTATAGGGGTTCTGACTTCTAAAAAGGAGGGGAAAGTGATTTGCGAGATAATAGATGGCGGGTGCTAGGGGGCATGCAGGGGTGCTGGCTACAGTTTGGGGCACTGGTGCAGGTGCTGTTGGGTGCTGGCGCAGGCGCTGTTTTGGGCTGCTATTTGAGGTGCTGGTTACGGCGTGGGCGCATTTTTGCGAGAGAATAGACGGCGGGTGCTAGGTGGCATGCAGTTTGGGCTGCTGGTGCAGGTGCTGTTGGAGGTCTGGGTGCAGGTGCATTTTGGCGAGATTGACGGTAGGGTGCTGGGGGGCACGCAGTTTGGGGTGGGGTACTTTGAGGGCGCATTGTCGGCAGGCTGCTTTGGGGGGGGGGGGGGCTGATTCGTGCTTCTCATCACGATGCTGACCGCATAATCACAATGTTGTTGATGTCATTAGGACGTCGTCCTAATGTTTCGTAGCTGATGTAGCATCATGATGGCGCCAACTATACCATGATGCTGCTGGAGTCATGTCGGTGCCCTTTATGGTTCGCGGGTCATGTAGCACTGTGATTCTGTCAACATCATCATAACGATGCTCAATTTCATTGCGATTTCGCAAGGTGATTCGTGGCCGTGTCATCATGACGCTGGCTGCATCATCATGGTGCTGTTCGCATCAGCATGATGCTGTCGAACTCACCAGGACATCGTCTCTGGCTAGCGTGTAAAGGTTCGTGGCTGGTGTATTACCACCATGATGCTGTCGCAACATCATGATGCTGTCAGCATCGTCATGATGCTGGAGCTATTAGAATGCTGCGTCATGGTTCGTAGCCGTGGTGTGCTACCTGGGGTCTATGTGGCGCAATTTATAGTTTTCGTATTTGGTCTAGACATTTGATATGAGGACCAATTAGACCCATATTTGACGTCTTAATCTTTTGTCTTCGCTTTGGTTGCGGGCCAGGCTCAAAGACCAGTTGAACACGTTTTCCACTTTGGAGGGTTCCCTGAAAGGGAGTCAGGAAGGCAAGAGCTTCGGCATCCTTCCAGTCCCCTGTGCCACGGTTCATGGTTCAGTTCGTTCGAAAGCGTGCCAGCACAACGTGAAATATTTCGCTGATGTTTTTAAATATGTCTGGTCTTTGGGTGGTATTCCTTCTCCTGGGTCACTGAACAAGTCTTTCGGCGAGTTTCCCCTTTCGAGCTCACAATTTCGTTGGGAATTTGGGTTGCTCGAGGCTCCAACTTCATGGTCCGTCCCACGCTCCCTCCATCAAAATAAAACGGCAAGGACTCCAGACCAAAACTATGTTAAATGATTTTTAGGCATATGCATATGAACCAGGGTTAGCGCACATTCTTTGAAGAGGCACCTGGGCCGCCCGCCATTCGAATCATAATGCCAGACCTGTTTGCAATTTTCCCCTTTTTTCTGGGGGTTGAACATCAAAGAAACGGAAGCACTCGTGGATTTGGCTGTGGCTCTAAACATGGTATCCCCAATGGGCACACAGCCATTTGCCTGTTTTTCTCCTGGAAAAACTCCTACCGGAGGGGACCAAATCCATGGCTTCCACGCGGGCAAGACGAGATCGCAGAGCGTGACTGGCACAGGGTGGTCGGAAGTGACAGGCGGCTCTGGTTTTCTTTATTTTTTGGGAGGGGGGCTGCCTATGTTTCACCAAGCCTGGCAATTTTTGAAGGGGGCCAACTGGGTTGCTTTTTATTGCGAATCGCCCCGGAGATTTTGAAAAATTGGTTTCTACCTACAAAAGGTGATCGACCTTTTGGTGGGGGGCTTGGAGCAACAAATACTTTGTGGCACTACTGGGGCTAAAGCGAGTGAAAACCATGCTCACGCCCTTTTGCTTGGGAATCCGATTCTTCCGATTGTTTTGGATTGGGATTGTTTGCCACAATTGCAGGCGGTTGAAGCATCGGGTCTTGGATCGCCACTTGTGATGCCAACCCTCTTTAAAACGGTAACACTGTATGAAGTAGACATAGGCGGGCCATAAACCGGGTGCGGATATCCCACCTTCAAGTTCTGTACATGGGTTTGGGCACACCCTTTTAGTACCAAGTGTTGATTGTGACTGCCATCGCCTGAACAATATATTATGTTGGTTTCCATTCAAAGCGGTAGGTCCGGTTGTTCCCTTTTCTGTCTGGCTTCCCATTGTTTAAGCAGTCGGTGCCCATGTTGCCCAACCCGGCAGTTCCTGAGTTAGTGTTTTTCGCAGAAGATCGGGCCCTAGGCCCTTGAAAGGCAACCCAAAAAGGGGCCAATCCGAGGAGCTCCTCAGGTCCTTCGGGTGCGCCGGGGGGGCTATTTGCTAGCTTGGAAAGGAGCTTCAAGATATCCAAATTGAAGTGGAGGAAAGGGAGTTGCCATCACGATTCGCTTCGGGGACCGATCCGTGAGTCTTTCATCGCGTCGGGCTGAGATTGGAGCACGTCCTCATATCTGGGCCAGTTCGATGCGGGCAACGTCATGGACGGCACCAAGTTCCGGCCGAACCGCGCAGGCCGCGTTTTTCGGTGTGTTTGCCGGGTCCGGAGCGGGGACCTTCTTTGTCTGGAGCCCAAAGTACCCAGCCTGGCTGGAAGCTTCTCAGCATAATCAGTTGGTTTCCTTTTGGTTTTCCCTTGCATACCAACCAAAAGGGGGCCACCCTTGTCAGAGTCTCCAAATGGAATTTAGCTTATGCAGAATCGTAGCCCGAAGGAAGCGGGTTGGTTGCATAGTCCGACTGTTTAGAACCTATATACAGACAAATTTAGAATGGGGTGGCCGAACAAAATCCGATTCGTTCGGCGTGTATCGAAATAATACCCAGACAGGGACAGGTCTTTATTTAGAATTATCACAATAAAGATAAATGATGCACCACTAGAACGAAGATACTGCAAACACCAGTGCCTCTAATTATATATACACACTAAAATATGCATAATTAATACTTGATGTTGCATATAAACCTAACAATATTCCAGAGATCATTTGACATAAAATAACAAATCCTTTTCAGTATCATTATTCCAAGCACAAATATGATCAGAGGACAAGGATGTGATTGTAGATGAGATTTCCTTAGCAATACAACATAAGTATTCAACGTGATAATATATATATATACACATGTATATATATGTGTATATATATATATATATTGGAGAGGAGTGATAGATACAGGGCCTGTTCTTTCATCTTATCTTTTTGTTAGTCCCTTTCTTTGCTGTAGTCACTTCGTGTTGCACATGCGAACCGCTTCCCCCCCCCCCCTTTCCCGGACCCCCCACCCTCAGGGGCCCTCGGCCGTTTCCTTGTGGCGTTTTTGGGCCTGGGATCGATCTTTGGGACAGCCCCTGGAGTCTGGGGAGCGGGCGTGGAGTTCAACTTTTCCGGTTCCACCCCCAAGTTGCAACGAGAAGTCGCGGTCTCGCGCTTCCCTCGGATTAGAAGATTGGTCGTGAGGGATAGGGTTTCTGATTCTGATGTCTCCCGTTCGGGTTTTTGTGGGGATGGGAAGCCGCGTTTAAACGGGGATGTGGGGGTGACAGCCCAACACCCAAGAATTTCAAGCAGATGTTTGCGGGAGGCTCCTATTACGGCCCGATTTGGCGAGCACTCGAGCCCTTGACTTAATGCCAAGCGCCAAGCCTGAAGGCCTCCATCGGGTCTTTGGCGGCTCACCTTTTCCGAATTCCACATCAATCTGTCCCAGGTTTGGGACATTCAGGGAAGCCATTTGTAAGCGGTGAGGCTCTAGGTAGTTCGGTGTGATTGGATCCGGTCGCGTCGCGCCCGGTTTCATTGAGCATGGTTTGCCCTTTCCACTGCGGGATAAATAAGGCCCCCCCCTGCTGTGGAAACCCTTTTCAAGGGAGGCGGTTCATTTCAGTGGAAAAGGCACCCTTTCATTGATTCAGTTCTTCATTTTCCTTCTTTTTTTTTTCTGGTTTAAGGTGGCTTCCCCACTAAAAATGGTCTTCCCCAAAAAGGGTTCCCTTGTAGGCGTCTCGGCCCAAGCTGCTTCGCCTGAGGGAGTGGTGCGCCCAGGGCCCCGCTAGGCAGCCATCTGCCGGTTGGGCGTCTACAAAGCCGGGTACTCACCCCCGGCAGCCCCGTCTGGTTTGCGCGGCTTCCCTAGCCGTGGCGTTGCTGTGTTGCGCTCTTGGTCCTCCCCTGTGGTCTCCTTTTGATGGATGTTCCGCTATGGTCCTGGTGTTTGGCTTGCTTTGGTTGGGCGCCGCTGCATGTGGCCCATCCCTTGTTCTTCGGCCCCCTCCCCTCACTGCATGGTGGCGATTTACTGCCCTACGTGGTCCCTCCCCAGAGCTTCACCTTCGGCAGGGATCAATACTTTGTGGTGTTGCTCCGCATTCCTGGTGGCCTGGGAGGTTTTGCCTCTTTGGAGACCTACAGCTGTATAGTGTTTCAGCTTTTTACTACTCCTTGGGCGTGACCTTGGATACGACCTTACCCTGCCGTGCAGCTTCATGCTACTGCTGTCGACCCGTTGCTACAGCCTCATTTACTCAGCAACAGTATTCTATGCCGGCTTTGGATGGCGTCGTTGGGGTCCGATGTCTTCTTTACTTGGGGCACCCTGGGGTTGCGGTTCCTTCAGGATATACTACCTTTACAGCCGTGATGCGGGATGCTGGCTCCCACTGGGCCCCTCCCTTCCTGCCCTCTCTGGCCGGAGGGTCTGATGACTTGGATGCATTCCTTTAACGGGCTTAATTCGGTTCCTCCTTTTGTGTATTTCTTTGTCTTTGCACGTGGGGATGTTGCTTTGCTCCCCCTTGATGGGCTCTGCCCCCTTTTCTACGGCCCTCGGGCCCTTGTCACCGGTGGTTGGGCGGCATGCCCCTCTCACCAGCGCAGCCGACCGTGGAGGCGCCAAGTGCCAAAAGGGTTCCCTTGTTTTTTTCAGGGTCACTGAACTGAGTTGAGCGTCCCGAACCTGAGGCTTCTACCACCTCTCGGCTCTCATTCGCCTGGACGCCGTGGGCCAAGTCCTCTCTTCGAACTACGTGCGCGTGGAGGCGCGAACTGCTGGCTCCCTGGAACGAACGAACCGATCTGAATGGGTTGCCCAAAAAAATGACCTGAATGAAGCAGGTAACTAGTTGGTGGTTTGGATTGGTGGTTTGGGATTTGCACCCTTGGTGTTTACAGAAAGGAAATAGGAAATCACTCCTTAACCACCAAACCAGCAAACCAAGTACCTAAATAGGGAGAAGCAGTTTTGGTCCAGGTCAAGTTTTGGAAATCATGCTAAGTCGCTTTGCCGGGGTAAATGAGGATTCTCAATGGAATGGTCCCGTTTTCCAAAATGCCAGGGGTGTCCCTGTTGGTTGCCCTGTCAATATCAATCAAAAAGGGGTCGGCCTCCCGGTCAAAGCTACAACCAGACCCCGGAAACTCAAAAAAAGTTCATTTAAACAGTAGCTCAGACTTAGCTGCCAGAGAGCCATCATGTGTTCTTTTGTGGGTTTCCAGCATATTCCTCTACCGGCGAAAATTTCTCTGCGAACTCTGGCCATGCGTTCCCAAAATTCGGCGCGGCGCCCTCAGATCTGCCGACACGACTCCTGCATCACCGGGCAGAGTCACTCCATCCAGGGGAGCCCCAAGAACAACTACTTCACCCTGCGCACCTCCGGATCGATGTGCCTCGGGGATGAAACGCCAACCGTTGTTCAAGCCTTTTGCTGAGGTCTCCAAGCCATTTATTCGAAGCGACATCAGGCAATCATAAATGTTTGGTGTCCCGTCAAGTTTGGGTGGGGCAACCTCTCAAAAGCACTTTCGCAGGGAAAGCTGGGTCCAAAGTGGTAGCGTTTTGAGGATCTCGTCAATTTCGTTGGGGTGTTCCCTTAGAACCGTCATTTGCAGTTCGATTAGATATGTCCCTTTGCTAAGTTTTGCAGCATTGCCCCAGCCTAGACTGGGTGACTTGGAGGTGAGCTGCCAGCCCCCGAATCTCGCGAGTGATGTCAGCGAGCGCCATTAGCCCCTGGCATCTCAAAGTCACATTTTGCCCTGCCAGCCTTGGTGGGCCTGACTCGAGCGCATTGTTGGCCGGCATTACGAACTCCAACCGGAGTCAGCCCAATGACACTTGCGGAGGGCTGATGGCGATGGCAGGATTTGCCCCCCCCCCCTCCCCCCCAAAAAACAACAACAGCAACGAACAAAACAACACCTCCCAATTACCCTCTGAATGGATAAAAGGAAGGAAGGAAGGAAGGAAGGAAGGAAGGAAGGAAGGAAGGAAGGAAGGAAGGAAGGAAGGAAGGAAGGAAGGAAGGAAGGAAGGAAGGAAGGAAGGAAGGAAGGAAGGAAGGAAGGAAGGAAGGAAAGGAAGGAAGGAAGGAAGGAAGGAAGGAAGGAAGGAAGGAAGGAAGGAAGGAAGGAAGGAAGGAAGGAAGGAAGGAAGGAAGGAAGGAAGGAAGGAAGGAAGGAGGAGTGCTGGAGGTGGTGTCTGGAAGAATAAACAATAAGTCCCACCTGTGCCACTTTAAAAATATGTCTCCTTTTCGGGGGTTGACATGTTGAGACAAACTGTGTGAACTCGTGCATTTCAGACATGTGCGCCACTCTCCCGACTTGTTGGTTCTGAGGGAGCCAAACCTGTCGTTTCCCCAGATTGTCAGTTGTCATTCTCAAAGTGGAAATGTTCAAGGTTGACATGCAAATGGAACTTCTTGCTGCTACTCTTCCCACTAACGAATGGAACGCTTTTTCTACAAGCCGAGGTACATGGGCTCCGGGGATTCTGCTTCGGTTTTTGTCTACAGCAATGCTGCCGCTCAGTCGAAATCCGGGCGTGGGCATCCATGTCCGCAGTTTTAGGGGTGCCCGGGTGGGGGGGGGGGAAGGCGGTTTTAACGCCAAGGTTCCACCGTAGGAAAAGAGGACACCTTTTTGTGGGATCTCTGGGGAGAAGATGACATTGCAACTGGACCTTTTTTTGAACGGTCCAACTTACTTCCAGGACATGCGCAATATACGGATCCCTGCAGGGGTCATGGGAAGGGCTGGGAGGCTAACAATGTAACTCAATTGCAACGCGAATGCACTTAGCTTGATTTGTTGTTTTCACGTCCATCTAGTTTGGCGCACAATTTGGCTTGGTTCACAAGAGGCTCGCCCAGCGTGCCAAAGCTATACTTCCTCGAAGTATTTAAAGCGACAACCATTTGGCGAGAGGCTCCGTTTAGAACAAAGAAAAGAGTTTCAATATTTTGGACGTTCCCACGTTGGTATGTTTGCGCATGCTCGTGTTGTGTTTCGTGGATACGCTACCTGACTCGAACAGGGTTCCAACAAGATTCAACCTCAACGGGTGGTTTCAAACATTGACTTTTAGTGGCTCAGGACTGCATCTTCGTTTTTATGGTCGAACAAACGACAGCTTTGGGGGGTCATCAATTTAGCAAAAACCACAGTGTTTGTGACTTTGTGGCCAAACTTCTCCCTTTGTGACCGGGTTTTTGGCATCTTCCAGGTCCGAATTGGGGAAACTCCTTGTGTACCACACACGCAACGACGCCCTGCAACAGCACCCCGCAAAGCACACGTTTTGCGTGGGCCGCCCAGTGAAGACCTGAGTCTATGTCCAAGCTAGACGCCTGATCTCCAAGAGGAATCTCATTTGATTTACAGGGAGGGCTATGATGGTCATCAACCCAACAAATGATGTAAGACAACTAATCAAGGTTTTGCATCAAGGAAACCCTGGCCAGGGCCCAAATCAGCCGTTTTCACAACAGCTCAAGTAGTTTGACCCTAAATTTGCTACGAGGAGTGTTTCTTTTTGAGACTCCTTCTTTGGCACAACCAATGATGCCACGAACAATCAGGTTTCTCCCTAACTCAATTTGGACGGGACCCAGGGCTGCATTTGCGTTAGCTTCAGAGGATGGGGAGATATTTTTCAGGAAAGCAACGAACCCCAAGCATCAGAAAGGACCTGTGGGGTGAGGACCTCTGCAAGTTTTGGACCCAAAGGGCCTTTGTTTTTCAGGGGCCAAGAGGCTTAGGGAAGGAAACCAACCAGTCGTAAGGATATACTGTCCTGAGCTTAACGCGCACGGCGATCCAACCGATTGGGCTAGAAACAGGGCGGCTTCCTGGCAAGGTGGGTTGGTGCCTCAGTGCCTAGGTGGGTGCTAGGTTTGAAGCCTTCCATTTGCATAAGTATTTACTTTTTGCTTGATGCAAAACTACAAACGCGGCAGCTCCATATCCAACCGATGTTTCGGCGCAAAACCACGCGAGCATTGCAGCACTTGGCTGTTGTTCGGCTTCCGCATGTGGCGCGAATATCTTGAGCTCTGCTAACTGGGCAGCAATAGCGGATCGTAAACTGCAGCACGAAACAACCAAAAAGCTGCAACTGCAGAGGAAAGAGGATGTCGAGTCATGAACTGCTTACAAATGCGCTTTTGTTTGTGTGTGCGTGTTTTGCTCTCGACCCGTGTGATGGAGGGGGTGGTTGGCATAGTTTCCCGAGAACAACATTGGCCTGCGACCTCCATTCCTCAAGAGGAAGGTAACGTAAAACAAGTATGGAAAAACGAACCCAATCCTGAATGACATCCCTGAAGCATTCACTGACTCGCGAGAAGAGCGAAGCCCGGGAAAAGGATATGCGTTAGGTCTGGCTTTTCAAGAGAGCATCAAGCTGGAAAATTTATGCATCCATAAAGATCCCAAGTAAATGCTGGAAAACATATATCAAGCTGGAAAACATAAGCTGGAAAACAAGTATCTAATGAAAGCTGGAAAACATGTATCCAATCCGTAAAGACACAAATACAGACAGCGGTCTGATCGGATTTTTATCAGATCTCTAATTTTGAGACCATATTTGTTTGCCCAGTGCTTGTGATGCGCATACATGTGCACATGGTTGCGGCAAGTTCTATCAAAGGTGCTTTCCACGAAAGGACTTCCCTCAATTGGGGTGTATGCCAGCCCTGTCGAATTTATGGCAGGCTTAACTGGATGGGCAAAACGAGCTTCGGCCCATGATTCTCCAAGGGCCTCCAAACAACTTCTGAACATATTCATAGATTTTGTCTGAAGATTCACTTGATATGGAACAACATGTGGCAATATCAATTTTAGTTCGGGGGAAAACCTGAGGTAGACATACCACTGGAGCCCAAGAGCAAAATTCAAAGATTGTTTGTGGACCCCGCCTTTGCCACCTTGAACGATGACAACAGTTCTTCTTGTGGGTGGAGATGTTGGGAGTACGCTTTGCCCAACTATCCTCCCGCTGTTTCCACGGAAGCGGCGATGGACTTTCCTTGTGAAGAGATCTCTTCCTTGACAGAAGGACTCCGGAGTCAGTAGTTACAATTATAGTGAATGCGAGTATAAAGTCAAAGACGAGAAGAAAGAGGACAACACTTTGCCTTGAAGATCCCTGTGGTTTGCTTGCGGCCTTACCCCGGAGTATAGTGAGTATACTGGGAGTGGAGTGAGTGCAGTCGCTGGGGTGCGAGTGTGGTGAGTGGAGTGAGTGTGGTGAGTGGAAGTTGACAGGTGTTCTAACTAAGAGCGGAAAATTAGAGACAAAGAGCGCAAAGAAGGATACTAAGAGCGGAAAAGGCGTAGACTGCTGGTACTACTACTTGTACTACTACTAGTACTACTACTCGGAAGTTGACCCATAAACGGCAATGTTAGGGCTTTTGATCTTACTTGGCCTGATTTCGTCCTCATTGCCCCTTCCCCGAAAAGTCTTCAAGGTCATGGGGCGTTGTCGTACGGTTCCTGTGCTTGACATTCCGGCAATTCATCCAACCAGAAGTCCAATTTCGGGAAAACCACACAAACAGAACGGTTACATATCTATATCGCGTCTTTCCCCCGGATCTTTTGCTATTTCAACCACTGGCACAGGTGGCTCGCCACTTACAAATCTCCCGTTTGCGTCGGGAGACCTTGCGAGGACGCCTCCTTCATAATCCAGACCGAGAGTGGCTTCTCGGGGTACTTGCTGACCACACCCCAGGAGCTTTTTTTATTTTTATTTTTCCCGGCCGTCAAGCAATCAAGCATCTACCTGTCCAGCATGGAACCTCACAGGTGGAAGGACGATTTCCGACCTGGGGGGTTCCAGGCTCGAGGGGATTTTTCTGGGAGCAAGGCTTAGACACCCAGTGCATCAAGGCTGAAACAAAGGGGATGATAGAACCAAAGTGTGGAACTGATTACTCCTACTTTTACCCAACTGTAACATGGAACCCCAAACCCATCCATTCGAGGAGACTCTCCCTAAACCCTTTGCTTCGGGTTCTAGTTCTATGTTAGCTTGCTGGGTTAAGGCTGGCCCTGAAATCCTACCAGGACTGGGACACTGCCCTTAACCACCAAACGGAGCTCCAAGCCACCCTTGTTGATGGAAGATTCGTGGTATCTTGGCCAAGTTGTCGGTTCAACTTGGCTCTCTGGCGATCTTTCGACTCCTTAAGGGCGGCAAGTGTGAACATCAGCACGGCGTTTGGGTAATTTTCGGTATTGTTATTGCCGCCTGCCAAAGAAACACATATTCGTTTGGATGTGAATCTTGCAAGGGAAGCAGCAGTCTCGGGTTTGCATTTATGTTTTTTAATACGGATATTGACTCGCAAGTGTTTTTTGTGCTTTCAATGTTTTCGCTTTTGGCTTCCCTGAGCAAGGTGAAGAGGATACTCGCAAAGCACATACTGTAATTAGCTTGCAAGAAGTGAAAGCGTTGTCCTCCCGATCAACTGCACCGATCGATTATTTTCTCGTTTGTCCCTTACTTGGGGTCCAGATCGGTTTCGCAACCCAATCTCGGTTACCTAAGCGGCCTTGGCCTTACGAACCCACCCCTGATGAACAGGTTTCCGCAATTTTGCTTGTTCTTAACCCCATGGCAGGTCTTCGGTGACCAAATCGCCCCTTGCTTTTGAAAACAGCGAAAACCGGCCGAAGGGATCTGTC